AAAGGTTTGCTCATTAAATGATGTACCATAACTCCACAGATAATGCAGGAGACAGCTGGACTGAGGATATAATTTCTATTCTGAAAAAAAAAAGAGTGTCACAAGATCTTTTAAAAACAGTTAGCCAGGAGTGGGCTGAGACTTTATACTCAAGTGAGACTTCTCTTCCAGCAGCAGACTGGCCATCTCCCATTACTTGTTCATGGCACAAAACCAACTATTGAGTCAACGGGGGAACCAACTTTCTGCAAAACAGCCACTGAAACAAGAGCCAGCTCCAACAGAACTTGGCTAAAAAGGAAATCTAGGAGATCTATTACTTGTGTATAGGAGCACACCACCACTGATCTCCACTGACTTCAGGCTCAAGAACCTATCCAAGATATGTCCTGCATGCTCCTTTTTGACTCCTGCATTCAACCTTTAACTCCAGACTGTGACTTTACTTACAAACCCTTTTATCTACTCTCTCTGAATTGGACCCACTGCACCTGAGTCTAAAGAGTCTAAAGAGTCTAAAGTGTCACAAGCAGCACTGTTCACAAATCAGGAAAAGCTCATAGGATCTAGAGATGCAAAACCCAAAGGTCACAAAATGGGATGAGGAATTCAGTTTAAGCTCCAGAAGGTTTGGCCCTGGCTGTGCCCTGAAGAAGATTATAGTCTAGTGAAGGGACACACAGTGGTACCACCACTACCCTGCTCAGGCTGCTACTATCTGTATTACAAAGGTTTTTTGGTACAGTGTGTCTACCAGTTGACATACTAATACCTTTCAGTGAACACAGCTTATTAAGGAGAGGGGAAGAACGTGGTGACTTGGCAACACCCCTGTGTTGACCAGATTTGTCCTCTAAATGCCCCAAAGGAATGCAAAACTCTGGCTGATTGCAGTCAATGCCTGGCCTAGACCTAAAAGTGCAAAGAAGCAGGAGCCCTGGTCTGATCTCAGCCCACAGGAGATGCCTGCACGTGGAAGAGCTGGAAGCTCAGCCTTTCTCTCCCCTGCACACATGGGCACAGAGGTCCAGCAGGAGGGTCCCAGGCCTCTCTCCCTGAAATGTCTGGATAAACCACAAAATAATAGTCAGGGATAAGTTCTTAAAACAATCGTGTACTCTTACAGCAAAACAGTCAGGACTAAATCAGAAGCAAATGTCCACTGTTGTCAGGGCTGAATCAGCAGGTGCTTTTAATAAAACCGCCATTTATGCTCAGAAAATACATGAGGGCTAGCCAAACACTTAACACAAAAAAAATCCTTGCACTCCAGCTAGGCTGGGGAGAGGGCTGAATGATGGTGTAAACAGAGGTGGAAGTTTTTTCCTTCCTAGAAATACAGGAAAACAAAATATAAGCATTGGCTCAATTTTGCACTAAACTGAATTCCTTCTACATCTGCAACTTGCAGTGATGCCTGTTTAAAAAAAGAATTAACATATTTTCATAAAACTGAAAAGAAGCAGCGTTTTTATGTTATTTGCAATTGTTTGCTGCCCTCATTTCTAATGCAAAATTCAAAATTAAAAAATGACATTTTTAAATGGTTTTCTTTACTTCTGATATTTTTTTCCTAATTCTGGCTTCATCCCACCCTTCCGTTTTCTCTGTAATAATATGGGAGAAAAGTAGAGAAGAGATAGTGTAATGAAACATTAAACTGAAAACATGGCAAAACTAACAGAAAAGCTGCCTTTTTTTAATTATTGAATTTTGGTTTTTAATATAAAGGTAAAAAAATTTCATTCATCAAGCTTTGTCAAAAAAAAAAAAAGTACAATGAAAAATATTCTACCAGCTCACATTTTCAAGAGCTTGTTCGTTCACATTGCCCTCTTCTCAACAGTAATATAACTACTCAGCCATCTCACAGGCTTAGTCCACAGCAGAAATTCTTCTTCATCTCATTTTACTAGAGAGTAAAGCTCTAGATCCCATCCCTGTTATAGCAATAAATGTTAAGCGTGGCTTAAAATATAACAAGAAAGAGAACAATAAGAATGAGCATGGGTTGTTACAGCTTATTGCTGTGCATTCATAAAAGGAAATTCTTCCTCCCACTGCAGCCTCAAAAAACAAAGCATAGTTTGTTTATTTATTGACCCTGCCCAATTGCCAGCCTCCTGTCAAAGCAAGATCAGTCTTCAGACCCTGCTATCTTGTTACATGCTGAATTCAGTTAAGGGAAGTAGATGGGCAGGGGAAAAAGTAAAAATAGAGATAACTGGTTTCACTTTATGTAATGCTTTCTGCAAATGCAGCATGATCTATAAAAAAAAATGAAATTAAATTAGACTGTAAATTATTTAAAAAAATTAAAAAAAAAAAACAATTGGACTTCTTGGGTGTTCCTTGTTGATGTTTTTTTAAACCTTAAATTGTCAACACTTATAACTATTTATTTGTAGTGAAATCTTCTAGCATGATCCACAAAAATATGGACAGATATCTGCAACTGCTTCGTCCTGGACAGAGTCAGAAATGCTCATGCAGGAGGGCTCAAGGTGTGTAAATAACAGGTGAATTAACCTGCTGTGAGTCCTCTGCCCAGAAAATCATCCCAATTACCCCGTGACTGAGAGCAACAGAGACTAACACCTTGTATTCTTAGCTGCGATCAGTCTCCGAGTATGCTCAGAGAAAAAAATAGCTATTTTAACTGAAGATAGTTTTGTAAACTCTTCACAACTGAGGGCTTTCATTTCCCACTCCTTCCACTGATCACACTTGTCATAAGACATTGTCTAATTCAGAGCACACCATGACATCAGTTTCTAAACTGAATATACCATTAAATTCAATACCAATCATATGATGAGTAATAAAAACTTCTGGAAAACTATTTTTGGGCAAGGAAAAAGCTTTGGGGCTGAGAAGCATAATTAGACCTTACTGCAGGCAGTCTGGGGACTGTTTGATGAATGAACTGGCATTTCACAACTGTGTTCAAGCAGGATTAAGTTCCCCCAGCTTGCAAGGATATGTTCACCAAATCAGATACATCCCAGAGGGTGACATTATGCCATGGCTGTAAGGTCATTGCCAAACACAGTCTATTTCACATGAACACACTGATGAGTGATAATTTTACAAAGAAATTCATCATTTTGTTTCTTTCCCATTAGCCCTCTCGTTATTCTATTGGGTTTCCAAGCAGAGAGCAGGAGAGTGCAAGAAACCTGCTTGTCTCTTCTCTTACAGGAAATGACTTCTCCCATGTAGTCAAGGAATGCAAAATTAAGGAGGAATGTGGCTTAAGACAGGGGCCACAACTATGGGAAAGTGAATCCCCATAAGCTGTGGAGTGATGAGTCTCTTCATAGGGAGGTTTCATTTATGTGGGGTCAAAACATATCCAAAATATTCTTCTGACACTTACCTAGGCACTGGTAGTTTGTAAGGAGATCGTCTGTTTCAGTCCAGTCCAGTGCTGCTCCAAAGCTATCAACGCAGAAGGATTTCTTAGTGTCAGGGTCTTGCTGGGAAGGTCTATACTGGCCGTCTTCATCACACTGCAGACCCTGCTCATTGCTTTGACAGTAGGTGATACCTGTTACAAGTAAATAAGAAAAGAAAAAAGGTATTTAGATAATGCTGTCACTGGGTTTCACAGCATGGTTGAGGTTGGAAGGGACCCGTGGAGGTCATCTGGTCCAACCCCCCCTACTCAAGCAGGGCCACCTAGATCCAGTTGCCCAGGACCATGTCCAGATAGCTTTTGAACATCTCCAAGGTTGGAGACTGCACAACCTCCCTGGGCAACCTGTGCCAGTGCTTGGTCACCCTCCCAGTAGAAAAGTGTTTCCTGATGTTCAGAGGGAACCTCCTGTGTTTTGGTTTGTGCCCATTGCTTCTGGTCCTGCCAATGCAATAGGACAATGTTTCAATGCTGTAGGACAAAAGTGCTCTAAGTACAGCAGAGACTTCACTGACATTTATTGTATCATTTGCATTGTGTCTCATGCTCTGAAACATAGTAGTCTCACTGCTTTGTTGTTACTGCAATTCATATTCCAAACATTTTTAGGATTCTCTGCCATGGATCAGATCTCATTTATGCTAAGTACTGTAAAAGCAAAGAAGTACAGAGAAGGAACTCTATTTTCCTACAGGTTTGTTCAGTGCCTACAGCAATGGATCCATGAAATGTTATGAACCACAGCACAAGAGCCATCACATCAATTTGTAATTTGCTGCCCCCCTGCCTTTTTTAAAATTCTCTTTCAGTGGGAAAGAAAAGATTTTTGCACTCTATTCTTTAAGAATGAAAAGCTTTGATTTTAATTAGCAGCGTTTTCCCCAACTACTTAACATTTTTAATGATTTAAAAATCTTTAGAAACTAGGCATCTGGGCTACACAGAGAAAGAAATCTGGAAATTTGACCAACACCGAAGGCAGCAGCAGAGAATCCCAGGTGGACTAAGCCTGACAGGTTAACCACCTTGATGCCCTCCTCCTGAGATGCTACTGAAGCAAGTGAGGCTTATCTATGCACGGAGAAACCACCAGAGTTTAGTCTGACATATTAAAATGTGGCAACATCAGCCTTGTTTCAATTCAATGCATCAGGCCAGGAGCTAAGGTAGTTTAGGAAAGGCTTCCCATGCCTCTCAGCCATCCTTGCCACAGAGGCACAACCTCTGGGAGGAAAACAAGGTAAGCAGCATAGAGGAGAACACTTCAGCCCTCCAGTTTTCCTGTGCTGTGTTTGTGAGTCAATAGTTTCCTTTTTTTATCTGGCAATTAATTCAGAAAAATCCTCAGACTCTATAAGGAGATGGGGGGGGCGGGAGGGAAGAAGGAGGGAAAAAGGGAAGAGAGAGACTGAGAGAGAAAGGGAGAAAGAGAGGGAGAAAGGAGAGGGAGAAAAGAGGGGGAGAAAGACAGAAAGAAGAAAGCTAAATGTGTACAACATGGCCCTTTGAAAAAGGGTGGCACACAGATTCAGCACACAGGCAAGGTAGAAACCAGGAAAGCAGTAGGTTTAGTTGCAGGCACTTGCAATAAAGAAAACTGCAAGTGCAGTAAGAAAAACTTAAGGACCAAACTTTTAAGCACAGGAGTCCAATGTCTACACTGGGAACACATATGGAAATGAATGACAACTTTAGACAAAAGCTAACTGATGTCAAGGTGCATTACAAAAAACCTGTTTTTTTAATCCCACCTAAGAGGGATACTTACAGGCTAGATGGAGCTCTGAGCAACCTGATCTAGTTGAAGATGTCCCTGCCAATTGCAGGTGGGATGGACTAGATGACCTTTAAAGGTCCCTTCCATCCCAAGGCATTCTATGATTCTAAGCGAATAAATAGGTTGAAATAGAACAAAGCAGTTGCTATACCCACCGATACTCCCAAGAAACGCATTCTTACTACCCACTTTTATTTTTATCCATGAGCTAATGCTGCAGACAAAACTGAATTTGGACTTAAGTGATTTTCTCTATGGGACTGCATGCAAAAATAAGTCATTTAAACAGAATACAGCAACTTTGTGAACATATCGATAATCGTATTGTGAGAAGTATTTGCACTTGCAGGGAAAAGAGCTGCACAAAGACAAGACTGCTTTAGTGTTCATGAAAGTGATAATAAATGAACCACTTAAGATGTTTCTCACTGATGCTGAATACCCAGATATCATTCCTGAGGCCAATGAACACGTCTGAAGGAACCACAACATCTTGGATGAGACTGACCACTCGTTTCTCATGCACTTTTGGTCAAAACACCAGACAGCTTTTTCTGTGTTTGAAAGACGTCTTTGAATGTATGCAGAAGAGATCATACCCATAAAAAAAACCCAGAGGGAGGATCTTTTTTTTTTTTTTTTAAACTTACAGATGAAAAAAAATTCCATTAATTATTTGAAGCCAGAATACAAAGGGTAGGGGAAGAAGTGAGTTCAACTTACAGTGATCAGCGCTGAATGCCCCATAGGAGTTGGTAGTTTTGCCCACAGGACACTTGATGCAAAAGGAGTGTCCTTTCTGATGCTGATAGTAGCCAAAAGGGCAGGGAATGCATTCATCATTCTGGAAATGACTGCCTGGAGGACAAACAACTGAAGAGAAGAAACACCTTATTACTCTTATGGATTCCAACCAGTTCAGGCATTCGCACACATATGTGTAGGTATATGTATGTATGTGTGTGTGTGTGTGTATGTGTGTGTATATATATATATATATATATATAAGTATCACACTGGTAGACTTGCCACAGGTGTCAAGCTCTCAATATAGATATTTCTAAATGGAATAATACAGGTAAATGCTCCTTAAATGTTCATTAATCTCATAAATGACTGGAACATAGAATGTAGTCTTTTTTTCTCAGATCATCCTAAAAATATTCTGGAATTAGTGCACAACATGCTCTTTGGAAATGCCAAGTCTAGGCCAGATTTCCATTAGTCAAATCTATTTGTAATAATATAATGTACTTTGTGGATAAGTTGTGAAAGACAACGAAGGAACACAAGCTACAAATGGAGTAACTTCTACAAATGCTACAAAAACAGGAAGACTCCTAGGAGTAGAAACTCCAAAAACATCATCCAGAAACCCACCATATGGTAACACTTTCATTCAGAATTCCTGGTAATGAAATTTTTGGTACTCACTTCCAAACTAAACAGTAATGGCTGGATTAAAAGTCACTAGTTGTGCACATGACAACCCAAACACAAAACAAAAAGATATTCTTAGTCTGCATATATATCATTTACAGAACAAATAAGGAGTAATATTTCCAGCTGACCTGTTGCATATTACAAAGAAAATTCATTGTCTTCTGGGAGGTCACGAAATACTGTCTTTCCTTCCAAATCATTTGAATGAACATTAAAGCAGAAGAGTCACAGACACATTTGCAGGACAATACCTTTACTTGTTATTTCACAGCTGCTTTCCAGATGTAGATTTCCTTCAAAACACTATCAAATGTATGTTTTGGGACTTTGACAACATGCAAAACTTCATTTCTGCTTTTGTCCTAATGTCTTGACAGCAGTTTAAACTTGTATGAGAGAGAAATAGTAATGGAAAATTGGCCATCCCCACTACAACCCATATGATGAATTGCTGTTCTGGCCAAGACACTGGAATGTAAATTAATTTAACTTATAGGAGCACCTAAATTAGAACAGACTAAAAAGACAGCTAGTATAATAACAATCATCTCTTCCTTCATCTGCTCTAAATGGTCCAATGGGAAAGTCTAGGATGAGACAACTGTGAGACTGAAATTTCCCTCCCAAGTATGCATCAAGGCAATTGCTCTAGGTATAACACATATCTAAAATCAATTACAGAACCAAAAAATCCTGGATCAGACAGAATGCTCCTTTCTCATGCATATTATTTAATACAGAAGAGTGTCTGATACATTTTAAAGACATTTTCCAACACATGCAGAAAGGATCATTCTCATTGCAAATGAACAACAGTAGAAATTAAAATGAAATGAGTAATCCATGCCTAAATTGAAGACAAAATGCAAAGGATGAGGGAGACTAATTAAGCAATTAAAGTTTAAAAAGAAACAAATTAAGCTTTTCAAAGCATCCTCCTTTTGTTGTAGTTATGATGTGAAAGTAACATCTGTGTCTCCAACCACATTTTAAGCAACTAAAATTGCCTTTTGCCTCACACATTAGATCAACAAAAGGGCACACAGAATAGCAAAACATGTTGGTGCAGAGACATATGTTTTTTAGACTCTATAACTCTTGAAGGCACATGTCATTTCAGCTATAGGTTAGACTTGACACAATCACACAGAGGTCAAGTTTGATTCTAGAAGTTAGACAAACCATCACATTGTACTTCTTTCAAGCTTTAACGTTCATATATTTTAACAATGTAGGAAACTAGAGAACAGCCTTGAGCCAAAATCTCAGAGCTAAGCGTTAGCACTGGGCCCAAAATTTGTATCCCTAGAACAGGAAAAAATAAATAAAATAAAATAATAATATGATAAAATAAAATTTAAATTTAAACACCCAAATTTAATCCCTTGCTCCTGCACATCAGATTTGTAGCCTGGCCTCACTTCTAACCAGACTCAGGCTTCTGTGTACCAGGGAAACAACATGCTGAGCAGCAACTTCCAGGCTAAAGAACAACTCACTCGGGAAACACAAAGCAACTCTGCGCAGGGGTACCACGCCTCAGAGTAGCCTCCTTTTACTTAAGACCAGCTCTCACGATGCTAAGCATGCTTAAAGACTGTCACAAATGATCATTACCCAATGCTTTCACTGCTCTTTCCTCCCTCCAGGCATAGTGGAAAACTTTGGGATATCAGATTCATGATCCAGATTATTACAAATGAAGTCTTGACCTGCTAGCTCAGCTGTAAATCTAGCACTTTATTTGATTTGGGTTATGCTCTGCTGAAAGTAACTCTGATAAAATTGCCAAGCATTCTAAATAATAAAAGGAACCAGCATAAAAACATATAATAAACCAAAGATAACTCACAAACAGGCTTCAGGTTTTCTCCTGAAATAAATGGGGGGAGAGGGGTTGAGTTCATAAAGCTGCCTCCTGGAGAGTTTCCAACTCTGTTCTTTTTGACTCACACCTTAGAAAAGAAAGTGTCTTTTGTCCCTTTAAAATTTAGCTAAAAGAAAACTGTTACCTCAGGCTCTTAAGGAATTATATTCATAAATACCTGTGGGGTAAAGTAACTCAGTGTAAGACTGAGACAAAGAAAAAATGTCACAGAAGAAAAACTAACACATGATAAATGTTACCCATTTTACAGGCAGAAAAACATGAAACAAAGCAGCAATAGATGCAAACCTAAAGAAGAAGATGACTGTAAGAAAAACACGAGAGATGAAGAGGTAGATTCATGCAAGCTGCATGTTCCTAAATGAAAAATATTAGGTTTATTAAGAACACCAGAAAGCTGCTGCTGCTACTAAGAGTTGTCCATGCTTCCTGAAGCAAGCAGAAATGTCACTTACAGTGAAATAAAAACAAACAAATTAATAAGATCAGGATCTGAAAAGACAATTGTATTTCAACAAGGTGGAACAGGAAAGGGAAGAGAATAAAGAAAGAATCCCTGTCATCCTCACACAACTTTGATTTCTGTAATCACAGGTGATAACTTCTTATTATCAGTCCCTAGTATTAGTAAAGAAACAGACCCAGAAGGACAAATGACCAGAATATATCCATAGTGCAAAATAAAATTAAATATATATCTATCTTCAAGGAACAAGAAACTGAATTCCTAAATCTCTTGTTTAGAATAAAATATGCAGTCCTACTACATAAACCAGTGTCCAGCAGCATGTCTACCATGACATCTTAGAATATAAAATCTCTGCCAAAATCTGGAGCAGAAACTGTCTCCTTTCCGCATCTCTATGATAACTCTGTTTTACTGAGTGCCTTTTTCTACAGCTGGCTGGTTCAAATATGTATGAACTAACTTACAAAGCAAATTAATTCACTGCTTCCTAGAGGCCTTTATCCCTGGCAGGAAATATTTGGCAGAAAGATCCAGTCTTTGTAAGTTCTTCTGCGCTAAATGATGGACTCTACTTAATGAATAATGACACCTTTAATCAGTACCACAGTACATCTTGTTAGGTAACTGCAAGTTGTTACAGACTCCGGATTCTCAGTATGAATTAATCATTTTTCTGTATGGTGTATTTAAGTAACCAAAATCTGAAGTGTTTCAGACTACAGAGATGAACTGAAACTGCAGTGAATTTACCCTTAAAGGGACAAGCTGGAAACTGCAGCAGTTCAGAACTGCTTCATCACTTAGAATCACAGAATCATAGAATCGTTAAGTTTGGAAAAGACCCTTAAGATCATTGAGTCCAACCATTAACCCAGCACTGCAAGTCCACCACTAAACCATGTCCTTAAGCACCACGTCTACCCGTCTTTGAAATACCTCCAGGGCTGGGGACTCAACCACTTCCCTGGGCAGCCTGTGCCAGTGCCTGACTGCCCTTTCGGTGAAGAAGTTTTTCCTAATATCCAACCTAAACTTCCCCTGGCACAGCTTGAGGCTGTTATTCTATGATTCTTGATTACTTTGAAGCTCTTGCCCAGGCATTAGGAAGCTCTCCTAACTTAAAGAGAACCACCATACCAACGAGGGAGCTAAGTTGTTTTCATGTATTTTGATTCGCTTTTAGGGTCTCTAGCTTAAGCTGCATAGTATTGCAGTTTTCCCATCTGAAAATATTCCTCGTTTTGGAAAACCTATCCAATATCAGTTCTTGTTGATCTTATACCTAGAAGTGGAATGGATATTATGGATATTATGGAAAGACCTTCTAATACCAGACAGACCTAAAAAATCCAAAAAAATATTCACAAAACCTTCTATACTATGTCAGTGCCATGATGCCTGTTTCCAAATCATTGGTTCAACACAAGGACTGAACAGTAAGCAAAGCACTAATTCCCATCTCTCTTCACATTTGTCATTCATGTTGGTGCTTCACACCTTTCACATATTAACCATAAACACAAGTTCACTGATTATTTTCTAACTTTAGTTTTATACTGATTCCTAACAGCATCAAAGAAGGAAAAGCTAAACAGAGACATACCGCATCCTTGTGAATTTGGGACTGCTTTCCCAAGAGATGAAATTCTTCGAAACCCACTTCTACATCCTAGCTGCACACTCGGAGACAGATCAAACTCTTCATCCCGGGGAAAATCAATGAAAGAATCTCCTAGGAATTGCTTGGAGTCTAAATGCAGCAGAAAACCACCATCCTTGATCTCTTTTATAAATGCTCCAATGAGATTTTCTCCAACAATTGCATTTTCTAAAGGGGTAAAAATACAACAAAATAGCATGAAATAGCAAACAGCAGACAAGAATGAGTCTGTACGGTGTCTATCAGATTAAAGTCCTAATCTCAGTATATGTAGAGAGTGCTAAAGAAACAGAAAAAAAAATCAATAAAAAATGGCATCTTCAAAAACTAAAGCATCAGAGAACAAAGTTTGATTTCTGAGTTACAAAAAATCAGTAGATGAAAACCAGGGTTATCTGACGTTCAGATTTAATTTATTCCTGCTTTTTCAAGGAGTATAATTTGCTTCTTTTTCTGCATTTTGTTGGTTTGTTTTTGAAGGCCAGCATCTGTAACAATATAATGATCACCTTCCATCACACTACTGATATTCAAAATATCCACCTATGCAACAGACACGGTCTCCACAATTGCTGAAGCTGGTGTTGAAAGCTGGAAAACAGTGAGTACCTTTCCTACTCTCTATACTCTTAGTTGCCCAGACAGCTTCCTTTTTGATGACTTGTGCAAGGACAATTGTCAGTGCTAGATCAAGAGCAAATTCCCCAGTTTTGCTGCACCAGAACTACTACAACAGTGTTCCCAGCAGATTTTTCTTGTTATCACATTCTGTTTAACCCTGTAGGCTTTATGGCATTGAATGAAATGTTGGTGTGGTTTACTGCTTCAAATTTGCAAGATAAAGGCCTCCTGTAGCTACAGGTGATGGGCAGCCCATAACCCAGCAAAGGGAAGTTCTACACACTGTATACTTTGAGTTTTGCGAGTACACCAATGGCCTTGGATGTTGAATTTTCACAGGGGGCATGTTATATACATAAGGAGAGCATGAGGAATGTTACAGCTTACATGCTGTACAAAGATTATTTTATGACTGATGTGTCCAAGGCAAATAGCTGAGGGTACTACTGCCTTCTCACGTGGTGAGTTTCCTAACTTTGCACTGTAGCCCAGGGGTGGTTTTTCAGTTGTGTGGGAGAGAATTTCACAGCCAGACACTGAAAGATCAATCTAGACCTTGAATACTGAAAGCGTAGGTGCCTTCTCTTCCTCAATGTTGGTCCGTAGCTGATTGCTGTTGTGTAGATGTTGTTTCCCCCTTTGCAGAGGAGGGACACGAGGTTTTTACACTTACGGGCTAAAGTGAACAGATATCTCATTAAGGCTGACAGCTGTGTCCTCATATTCTCAATGCTCTGTTTTCTCCAGCATTGAGCAACCTATCATTCTGCTGCACTGACACATACTATAATCAACAAAATAGCACTTAGTTTTGTTCAACCCCAGGCCAAAATGATACTCAGCTTGCAAGGAAGTAATTGGAGATCACCACATAACCAACAACACTTTGCAAATGTTTTGCCAGAAATTGTCTCATAATTGAAAGCAGGAATAAGCAGATTAGCCTTTTATTCAAGCAAATATCCTTCTGAACCGTCTAGTTATCAGCTGTAGCAGAATTAAAAATAACCTTGAAATGACAGCTGGAGGGAATTCACATGTAGAAAAGAAGCAGTCAAACCAGTAAGAATCCACTTAGGTCTCCTGAATTTCCTTTAGTCTAAAACGTTCCCCTGTGTCGAAAAGTTCTCAGCACTATCGCTAAATGTGACCCTCCTATGACCACACTATGTATCCATGCATATACGGTAACCTTTACATTCAGAGTATATAAACAAGTGTTTAACTATAGTATACATGTTCAAGCATTGCAAATAGACAGGTGCATCCCCTAACATCTCAGCAGAGAACAATTCTGTGCCTGCCAGACATGCCAGCCACAGACTCGCTGGTAACGTCTTACACAAGCTGCCTTGGTTCAGCCCTTCCAGCATGACTGGCCAGCTTGGGGCCACAGTTCTCTGCTGGTCCTGGGACCTTCAGCATGTTCTAAAGCATAGCAGATATAATAGTGCTTCCCTGGTTTTGCTCCTGTTTTGCTGCACAATTTTGGCAATTCAAGCTACTACACATCTCATACTTTGTTAGATTTACTGGAAATTCTTACTAAGCATTTCCCCAGAGTCTGGTATACCTTTAGGGCTGTGGACTTCTGGGGTTGCAATACATCTTTTCACATACAGAAATAGCCTGCAAATAGTTGCATCCTGTGTTGTGCAGTGGAAGAACTCTGATTTAGGGTCTGCCTCTGTTGAACGAAACACTAACTTTAATTTGAGAGGTATCATACCATTACCCAGAGTTTATATTGGCCAATGAGAAAGTGAGAGAAAACAGAAAGAAAAAAAGTAAATTTGTTGTTCTTTTTTTTCTTTAAGGAAAATACAAAGCACAAAGACACAGATTAAAATATCAGTTGTATAGAGCAGGGATTGATTCCCTCCATTCTCACTGATGGGAACCGTTTACTGTATGTTCATCCACCAAAAGCTCATTTTTATAATCATTAGTATTTTTGACTGTTGAACAGAAAAGAGAGAAGTTGCTGCAAGTGTTCCTTACTATTTTAGAGCTGAGGCCTAAGCTACAAAGCCAAATGGCATAAGATCCTTCAGGAAGGGATTTGCACAGCCTTGGAATTTAATACATGAAAATATCTGCAAGAAAAAAAGTAATGAAGCATTCATGAGTGATTTAGGTTTGAGACTTTTCATTGGGAACACATGCATGTTGCGTTTCTGTTTAACAATTCTTTTCTCAGCTACTTCAAGAGCAAGACTTCTCATTTACACATAAAGAAACTAGGAAAAGAATGAAGCCATTTTAGTAATGTAGATTTTCAAATCAGAGAGCCAATTTGCTCACTCTGTGTAAATACACCAGAAAACACCTCAAACAGAAAAACCAAAAGCTGCCTTAGAAGGTAATGGAAGTTGATGGTGCCAAAAGGATACAGAGAGCAGGTTCCCAGTTGTCTGATCTCCCCAGACTAGACTCATACTGCTTCTTCTGAAACTATACAGTCATTCCCTGAAAAGCAATTTTAGTAATATGGGGAAATTATAGTGTGGAGAGGGTCAAAAATGTAGTGTCCTCAAAGCAGAACACTTTCAAAAGTAAAGTTTAATATAAAACCAAACACACTCATACTTTGATCCACCGTCTGCAAACTGCTTGAATATTTATGTTTCCCTTATAATCTGAGCAACTGAATGGATGTAAACATAAACAGATTGTAAAGCCAGGAACTCCACAACTACTGCAGCCGCTATCTGCATCCTGAAGGCTTTTGAACTCGGTTCTGATCAGGCAAAAACTGCACACGTCTCCAAGCCCCATAGTTAGTGGGAAGGACACGTGCAGGCAGAGTTATTTATATTTAGTGCTGGGAACACCATTGCAAAGCAGTAAAACTGAACAAAAGCTGGAACAGAGGGCATTTGAATCTGGGATATATCTTTTATGTCTTTTATTTTAAAGGGAAACACTGACTTTGCTTTGAAAGAAGTTCCTTACATCATCCCTAACTGACTTGGAAACCACAACAAGGATCTGTCAGTCAATGGTCTCTGCATAATTGCTCTAGGACTTCTGAGGTAAGGGTCATTCTTTAGTGTCAAAGGTAATATAATAAATAGAAAATGAAAAGGAAAAAAAAGAAAGAAATTAAAAGAAAAAAAAAAACTTGGAAAAAATTAGTTATATTTTTGGCAATGTGGGAATTGTGTTTCTCTGAGTCCAACCCAATAAGGAACCCAATCTTTTCCACCACTGAGGCCTGCCTGCTTGAAATGAACATCTGGGACAGTTCAGCTCATGCCTGATAAAGTAATTTTCAATCTCAGTTGAAGAAGCTGGGAGAGGCAGTCCTATCGGAAAGAAACATTCAATTATAGCTCCTTTCCTCTGTGCAGTCACAGCCTGAAAAGATAAATATATCAACACCGAAAGCTCAAAAACATAACTCCAGCATTATAAAGACTCTTTCCATGAGCATTTATACTACCTTGTTAGTGCCTCCTAAGAGCAGACACAGGGAAGCAAACCAATGAAAAGCAAAGCAGGCTTAATTCACAGAAATATAAGAGGAAAAAAAAACTTACCAATATCATGTAAGTCAGGGAGAGAAGCTGCCGGGATGTTTTCCAGCTGAATCCTCCACGTGACATTCACCCCCAGGCGGTCCACGCTCAGGCATTCAACATAGACAGCGGAATCATCACAGACAGAAACCGAGCCGGTATTTCCAAACACATTTACCTCAAATTCAAAATTAAATGAAACCACGGTTAGTCAACCTGAGAACCTTCTATTCTTGCCTTTCCCTATTCAATTACACTGCGCTATGCTCAAAGGCAACATTTTCAAAAGGGCCTGTAAAAAAGAGAAGTAGGAAAAGATAATTTTAGCAGGTCATTTACTCACTGTAAGATTAATCAAAGGGTTCTCTTCCATCAAAATATATTTTTAATAAATACTGGACTGATGTGATAGGACTTCTATGGCTACAATTAAGCTGATCTGCCGATGTGGGGTCAGTGAGACTAAACATCCTATTTTCCCAGCCATCCATATGAGAGTGCTGCCAATCATGACAGATTTCATGGCGTTTTCTGCTCTTCCACTTCTCTCAAACAGGCAAAGTTGTAAAACTTTGTGTCTCACCTTTTTTTTTTTTTTAATACCAAAAAAAAACCCCACTCAATCACCAAACAAAAAAAACACAACAACAACAGAGAATAAGGAATTGAAATTACCTGGAGGTGACATAAACCACGAGCCTTCAACTCATCTAAAATAAATATCTGGAATGCCTGGAGTAATCCAGAGTAGTCAGAACTACAAGTCTTCTCAGGAGGCAGTAGTAGTTGAAAGTGTGTTTGAGCTTGAACTGTCTGAAGTAATTGGAGCTCTAAAAAATAAGCAGAAAGTGCATTTAGTAGCCTCACTATTTAATGTGGAAACTGACTTTCAAAGTTACTTTGAAAAAAGACAACACTGATTTGGCATTTTGATCTTGCATTAGTAGCAACTCTCTATTTCTAGGTGAAAGCAGTAGAGTTGTCCGTAGTAAATAATAAGCAGCAAGAGACATGCTTGGTAAATATGTGTTGTGAATTAGAGAAAAAGATAGGTGACATAGTTATATAACATATAATAGTTATATAAGTTATATAGTTCATAATTATATAAAGAGATATTTTACATTGGAGAATTAACTCTCAGAAGGATAAGGAACAACCTAGATCATTAATGATGATTTTTTGTAAGCAGATAGGAATTTCCAGAGAACTAGATGAAAGCTGATGTTATGCCAATACTTAGAAAAGAAACAGGAAGACAGGAATTATTGACCTGTCAAGCTCTGCTTGTCTCAGACAGAATCACGAAAGAACTTCTATTAAAAAAGGAATTAAGTGGTTAAAGCAATTAATACTAATTCAAATGGGCTTTCAGAAACCTAGGTTGTCAAATTAACTAGGAGTCAAGTTTTAGAAGAGAATAAATTTCATTGCATAATAATGGTGTTGACGTGGACATCTACAAGGGCCTTCCAATTTTTTGATAGCAAACCAGAGTGATGCAAATCACACAAATCGATGGGAAACCTGTGAGCTCGTCAGTCACAAGATGAAAATCTATCTATCCAGTTTTTAGCCAGAATAAAAAAGGTGCAAATTTCTTTTCTCCACTAGATTTACACTGATCCCAGGCTTCATGGAGGGTTTGTTATCTCAGATTCAGCACAATGGTGATGCTGTCGTGCCACCTCCAAATGGAGCTGGTTCTTATCCCACCAGCCTGAAGAAGCAGCAGAACTCTCCCTCTGCAGACCCTCCCTGCATCACGTACAACTGCCACTGCTGGAGCACAATTCCAGCCCTTGCTCCCAAAATGAGTGAGCGTGGGAAAGCCTGGAGAGTATTCAAGGAGAACGGTGGGAAGGACCAGAGGACACAAAAGCTTGCTTCTTCCTGCAAGGCACAAAGCCCTTTATCTGTTTAGTTTATCAGAGAGTAAAGAGCTGACTTAACCGCAATGTCTAAGTGTACACATAAGAAACAGGACATAAGATGTTTAAGAGTGTGGGTAATTATCCATTGGAACAAATTACTAAGTGTTGTGGTGAATTTTCCATTATCGTGAAGTTTATTCAATCACCTTCAGATGTATTGGGAATTTTTTATCTCTCCTTAAAACCATGGTCTATTTCAGACACAAATTACTGTGGGAAGTCCTTAGCTTGCATTAAATGGCAGCTTTTATCAGATTGCCACACACTCCCCTCTAGCCTTACAAACAGTTATTCAACTGCCATCAGGCAAACATGAAAGTTACTTCATAACATGCTACAAAAACCTAGCAAACACGATTACAGACAAAAAGGCTCAGTCTGAAATTTAAAGTTTAAAGTCATTTACATTTGGAATAGAAGACCTGTGGTACAACTGGAAAAGTGTCAATACAGCAGTTTCCAGAACGGGTTTAACCCATTCTGGAGATGAAGAGTAGCTGTAAACTTGGCATCAAGATCTGCATTTCTCAGAGTTCAGCACTGCTACAAATTACCGTTTTGATCAGAACGTATCTCTATTTGAAATAATTGAAAAGGCCAACATTAATATCCGATTACATGAGCTCTGAATAGACAACTGATTCTTCCAAGATTTAAAGTGCCATTTTTTTCTTGAAAGAAAAATTATTTGAAAAACACAAGTCAGCCATCAAAGACAACAATAATTCTAAAGAACAGACTGCTGCAAAAAGATGCAGAAGTAACAGTGACTTGATTATGCAAATAAACAGTCAAGTTCTGCCAAATTCAAACATCTGGCGCTCATCTGTTCTTCCAGGACTAAGTGGTTCCATCAGAAACACTTCAAGGTGCCAGCATCTTTTAACTTGCAAAGAAAAAATCTGCATATAGATTGAATAACTATTTATAGCTATATTATCACAGAAAAGCGGGACTGTTTCTGGCATATGAGCTAGCCAAGACACAGAGATGAAAATGGCAGAAGGCAGGACTAATCTACTTCATCTTAATTTAGCAGCTCCCATATAACTGTTGTGCCCTATTATTGTCATTCACACAGTAGCTTCGTGATGAAAACACATTTTTGTACATCTCTTGACAGTGCTCTGCGCCCTTCCCAACCCACAGCAGTTCAGACATACTCTGGCAGGCCTGATAGAGCGGGGCAGCCGAGACCCATCGACGCTGTTGCACATCACACTGAAACGACGTGCTGGAAGAGGCGCTATGGAAGCCCTGGCGACAAACCAGCCGGCACTGCTGAACGCTTGAAGCTTGCCCAGAAATGTTTTCACAAAATACAGCTCCGTTGAGAACAGATGAGGCACCGAATGGCAGAGCACACTGCGGACCTTTAAGCACATGAGAAAGGGGATATATTAGTGGCATGCTATGAAGCACTTCTAGTAAAAAGTCCACATAATCTCATATCAACAGAGAAAACCTAGACAGAACCTTATGCATTTCCCACTCATCTCAACTTGGATCAGGTTTGATGTCAGCATGGTTCAGTTTACTAAAGCTGATGAAAAGACACATATTGACTTTGATGGGTAATGCATTGGGTCCAGAAAGCTATGTGCGTGGTTTCTAAGAACAGATAAGTTTAAAACAGTCATGAATAAATTTGAGCAGGAAATGAGAAGGAGGTTTCTAACCATCAGCAGAACAAACCTTTACAAAAGATATCAGAGAAAATAGGCAGGGCCAAAAAAAATCTCAATTCTCTTTAGAATGAAGTTTGAAAACTTTAAGATGAGGAACTCATGACTATGGTGTCTTAAACAGCACCAGGGTGTTTCTGGTGACTCAGCAGGTTCTTAACAGTAGTACACAGCTTCGGAGTTGGAGCACAAAGTTTAGCCTGTCAACTCACTCTGCATCAATACAGTCATTTCAACCCTGCTAGCCCGCTGTAACAGACAATAGCAGGCTAACTACAATGATAATTAATTTCTAGTAATCAGTACAAATCAACTGCTTCACTCAATATTAGCCAAATCCCAGTGTAATTACTGAATATATCTAGTAATAATGAAACACTTCTGAGTTCTAAAGCTACAAAACATAGGAAGAAAAACCAACTTCCTTACTTAGAAATAAACATGAAGAAAAAGATGTCCTCATATCATACAATTTACTTGCTTGGTGTATGTATAGATCATTTTCCAAATACCAATGCTCAGATTGGTCCCAGCCTCCCTAGTCACTGGAGGAAGGCAAACCCTCCTGAAGGTTCAGGTCTGAGCAGCCTCTCTCTCCTCTTCTGATGGAGATGTGGAGATTAATTCCTTAACTTAGCAACCACTTCAGTTAAAGCTTAAAACATTGCAGGATGAATCTGGGATCCAGTGTGCACAGCACATCTTTGTTTTCCAACCCTGAGAATTTCAATGCCAGAATAAAAGGCTTTCATATCTGTCTCTCTGAATTGCCAAATGCATTTTTTTCCAAGTCTCTTTATAGCATCTTTTCTGCAATAACTCTGTAAATGGGGCCACTACATTCCTCCTCTTCACTCATTGACTCTGTATCCAGTTTCTTTTTCAGTAAAGGTGGAAACCTGGCATCCTTGCTTAACAAACTTAATAAACCTCCTGAGATTTTAGGACCAAAAGATATCACTGTAAAAGAGACAGTAATACTTATCCTGACCAATGTAAACTACATCCACCATTATGTGTAAATTACATTAATATCTCTTAATACGAAGTATATAAAAATCAGTCTATGTCTCTTTATTGCTCTAACACATTTTTATACCCAGAAAGTCAAATCCAGTCTCAGCCGCATGCTGCTATAGTCTTTTACTGCCTGTTCCAAAGAGAGCTGGTATGAAAACTAGAAAAATAACCAGCCCTCAAAACGTAACTGATGGATGATTTCCTGGTGTGGTTCACAGGTTTCAGTTCACAATCAGTAATTTGCTCATTTACCCCTCTATAGATGTCATCTCATTTACTATCATTATCAAGCCTACACCATCTTGTCGTTCTTCTATTTCTGCCCCAATTTCTCAGTCCTCTAAGAGTGAATCAGAATCCAGTTGAATATTAACACTTCTTTCATAGGTGTTTCTAAAGATTTCTATAAGGAAATTACTGTCTTGAGGACCTTCTCTGGAAGGCTTTCTCTCCTCTATCTCCACTCAGAGCTATGGAAAATGGGCATGAGGATGGGAGATGCGTGTGAGGACTGCTAGGATACTTGGCATCATCTCTCCAGTGCATGTCAACTAGAAAAAGTAGGATTCTACCTCTGATGGAAATGATTAAGCTAATGAAAACCTCATTGCATGCACTGGGCACTATGAGTTATTACTTGTTGTTTACAGCTGTCTGTTCTGATGTTGGAGGAGAAGTTTATCATATTTTCCTACCACAACAGCTTCTTTTGCTGATAGACAAGATCTACAAGATAGTGAGATAGTACTCCCTTGCCTTTTTCCTGAACAATTATTAGTAGTTCCCAGGACTGTATAAGGCTGGGTAGACTGAGAGGAAAAATAACCTTTGCTTCTTTATGCTTACACAATAACTGAGTTGTTTAGCATGAAGAAGTTCCATTACTATTTCAAAATCCAGGAAAATCATTAAACATTACTTCAATGGTATTTCTATGCAGAAAATAACAAATAGCTTTCAGTAAAGCCAGGTTTCCACTGAATTTTCAAAGCAGTTCTCTCTCTCAGCTCAGTCTTTTAAAAAAGGAAGATCATTAATCATTCAGTCACTGTTTCTTCTAGGAAAAGTACAGCATTACAGGATCCCAAGAAACAGCAGATGTGCACGCAAAATGGAAAATCATCTTAGGGGCATATCTCAGGGTACACCTACACCATCCTTAGAACATATTGCATAAATTTCCTTGGAATTTAGGGGGAAACCTAGAAAATGAGGTTTCATGGAGAGAAGGAGATATCAAGGACTTCTTAACATTTACAACTAGTTCTGACTTTTCTCTGGCCTACTATAAACACTTCCACTTTTCCCTGTTCACCTTCAGAGTCTATGGGAAAGTCAATCCGTACTGCTGAGTGCCGGGCGTCGCACTGAGTTCCTCCAGCTCATCCAAACAAAATAAATATCACACAGACCCATGTCCCACAGAGATACTAGCCCATAACCTGAAAGCAAGATGGCAGCAGCACTGTACTTGTTAGACCGATTAGCTCTGCTTCTCTGCAGAGCTAGAAGCCCATATTGGACTGCTATGTCCACATGGATATGCTACCCTAGCTCTGGAGCTCATCTCTTCAGAGCTCAGTTGGGCATCTCCACACATCACCACACTGCATGGAGCAGATACAACCCTGGGGTCTCCTCACAACTTCTCACAAAATCCCATCCGCATAGCTCTCTATTGGTACAAAAGAGTTCAAAGAAAATTATGTTGGTGGTGGGTTCCAAGTTGGCTGAGGAGTTATCTAATTGACTAAAATGATGCCTTACAGCTAGCTGGGCTGACGCAATCAGGTATTTGTTTGGTAAGCATGTATTGCTCTTTATATAGCAGAATCATGAAAGGAAACCGAAGCAACTTCTTATCATGTGGTCTCATTTTCTTAAATCTACCAGCAGTTCTCATTTAAAAAAACTGAAAGAACTATGGAAACAGAAGTGTCCTGCGGGTACTAGTTGAAGGTTTTCTTTTTAACATCTCTAGTTTCCACTAATCGTTACACTTCAGACCATAGCCTTGTAGAAATTTTAATTTGTTTTTCTTCACTTCAGTGATGGGGAGCTGTATAAAGGCTTTGCAAATTAAATTTATCCAAATGTCTCCCATTTGGACATCTCACTGGAAATCGTGAGTGAATTCCAGAGCTTCGCAGCTCTGGTCATGCAGGAAACACTCTGTGAATATGTAGTGCTTTGGCACATCCTTTTCACAACTCTGGTCACAAGGCAAGAGTGGGAATGGCAGAAGCATACATTTTTCAAATTTTATTTTAGTCGGTTGAATGGCTTTTAATCCCAGAGACAGCTCAGTCTGGAACAGGTTCAAGTTTGCAGCAAGCTGTTCAGATTGACATTTTAGCTAAGTTTAATAGCTCAACTGCTTTGATTTAACCAGTTTTATGAATAAAGAAAAGTCAAAGATCCATTCCCTTCTCCTTTCGCCCTGACAAAGCACTTGAAGAAAACTAGACATTGTGTCCAGGTAGGTCTGAAATCCACTGTAACACAAAGATAACTATACCTCTTGAGCAAAAAATCTCTGTAAAGACCTGAACAAAGAAGCTTAAATACAACTAAATACTGGAAAAAGTTAGGATCTGGGTCAAGAACCAGACCTGGGCTTGCTCAGAAGCAATGTGCCTCAAGCAAGAACTCACTTGCACATGCAGATCTTCCTCCGCTTACTCGTGTCCCTGGAAGCTCTTCTCCATTGTCGAAGACACACCAGCAGCTCTCTTGATCCTGGCTGCACTGCATGGGTGAGAAAGTCCCGTTGTCCCCTTCACACTGGGGGATGTAGCCTTTGCCAACTTCTCGTAAACCAGTTTTAGACTTCAGCATATTACAGAAACTGGAACCTTTAAAGAGAGAAATTTGTTTCAAGATACAGAGCAGAAGACAACAAACTAATCATCTGCAGAAATGAACTATACTAATGTTCAGAATTGTCCTGAACAGCAGTGCTTTTGGCCTGTTTTTGTGTAAGGAAGAAAGGTGAGTGTTCATGAAACCATAAATAATTTGAATCATTATAGAAACGTGAAATTTTACTTCCACTAGAAAAAAAAACATTTTTTTCCAGGGATTAAAGTGTAGTTTATATGGGTTTGCATCAATAAAATAGTGGCAAAAATATTGATATTTATTTTGTATTAATATCTTTTTTTCCATAAATTTGATAGTGTATCATTCAGATGCTGATTTTTTTTAATCAAAATAATCTTTTTAATAAGAATTTTTGAGCGAGGTCATTTTAAGTGTAACAGTACAATTATTTACATTTTAAAATAGTCAAAATGTCCCAGTTTAATACCTTTAAAACTGGGAAAAAAACAACCATGGAAGAGCAATACTTATCATCTCCTACAAACAAACAAAACAGAGACATGACTGTACAGAACCGCCCTCTGAGAAGATGATCCAAAAAGTTCAGTCCAAACTTGAGACAAAGTTGGTTCTTACTAATTTTGTTCATCTGCTTGTAAACCTGTTTAACGAATGTTTACACAACTCAGTGAACACGCAGTTACTTATCCTCCATCAAGCCTGTTGCAGGTCTGCATGGGCATGTATCATTAGCCCCCACATTAGCCCAAAAGAAAGCAGACTTGCTGCATCGGATGAAAGTACTCTCTAACTCACTATCCTCTCCTGAGGACCATGCAAAATGGACTCACTGACTGGACGTGGCCCAGTTCCCACAGCTCAGGATTCACTGCCTTAGAAAACTCATCCACAAGCCCAAAGAAGTTTCTATGGTGGTAAGAAATGGAAGGAAAAAATGCATAGAAGCCTGTACATTAGTTTGTCTAGACTGATGTATTTCTGGTGTTATGGAAGTAAAGGATAACTATTTTCAGATACCCTTTCAATGTTGATGTGCTTGTATGTACCATGTCACTGAGGAATTAAACTGTAAGCCCCCTGTGTTTCACATGTATCATTCTGAAAAGGAAAGTACATATGCCGCAAAGCATGAGGCATTCCCACTAGTGTCACAGGCTGTGGGTAAAGCATTACTCACACTCAGGATCGCCATCCAAATCTTTGCTGCCACGCTGAAATACTTCTCCTGACACAGGCTCTACACACCAAATATCTGTGTCGGATCTCTGTAGCACAGAGTATTCTCCTGTCTACAAAGAATCAATTACATATCAATGCAGCACAAGCTATATTAATACAGACGTGCTACAATCCATACCCCAAAGGTTGGTTAAAATATTTGATTATATTTACATTTTTCCATTAATACAACATGTTGAAAAGAAACATAAAATATTAAAATACAGTCTACCTAATTTAATACACAGACCAGGCCCTGAGAGAAGCAGTATGCAGACTGAAAGCCCATTGAGATGAAGATGTAGTATAATCTTGGTTTTAAATATCTGTTCCTTGCCCATCTCAGGGCTCTATCCTGCTCACTGACATGTCATGGACCCTATTTTGGGATACCTGCATCCAACTCCCTCTCATCCTGACATTCCCTCACAGCTCAGGAAGAAAGAGCCCCCCAAATGGCAGTCAATTAAATTGTGCCTTTTAAGCATAGCTCTCAAAAGGCCTAGGCAGAGCCACCCTGAAGGAGGGCAGTGCAGGCAGGGACAGAGCTTCCTATTCCCGGTCTTCATCTCAAAACTATTTAAATTCTGCCTTATGGAGGGCTACGCCTGCTGTTTGTTTTGTCTTACTCTTTTCTTTCAGGTTAATAGGAATGCACAAGGGATGCTTAAGGAGCATAGACTGAAACCATACGGGCCTTTGGCATGGTGTAAGAAAAACTGAGGAGGTTTTGTTTCTTCCTCCCTCAGTCATGTCAAATCACCTCAAGGCAGTAGGGGACAAATAGATCAGCTGTAGAAGCATCCAGCTTTGAACTGCTCTGTCTCCAGCTGGAAATTAAGGCATTGGTTCGAGATCGCTGACATGATGTCTGGCCTGTAAGAGGGAAAACATACATGCATGTTAAAATAAAATCAAATTCTCAAACCTAACCTAGAGAAAGGGGTACATCCCCAGCTCCTTCGCACATCTCCATTAGGCTCTACTACAGCCTCAGGCAGGGAATTCCTGATCAGTGTTTGACAACCACAGAATGGTTGAGGTTGGAAGGGATCTCTGGACACATTTGGTTGGACATTTGGTCCAACGCCCCTGCTCAAGCAGGGCCACCAACCGTAGAGGGTCCATTCTCAAATCATGCAAGTCAAAATCACACATAGTGAAATTAAATGAACTAGCAAAACAAGCATAAAATTCCTTTTTGTTTCCTTGCAATGGTTAGAAACAAGCCTTTTTTCATGCATATCATACTAGTGTTTTCAATAAATATTAAAATTTGTAAGAACAGGTAAAGACAAATATTTAGGAAGAAAAACCAACTGACATTTGGGAAGTTCTGCTGCGCGTGAGACCAAGGAATCCATAACATAATGTCCTCGCTCATCCACGCACCAGCAATGACCTGGCCAGGGAAGAAAAACAGCTGTATTTTAGATGTTGTACTGCAGTATGCTTTGTTGCATACTGGGAAGATTTTCATCCTCAGCAGCTCTATGGAAAGTGATCAGTAAATCTAAGTCACAGTTAACTCTGCTATCCAGAGATAAGTAGACCACACTTGAGAGCAGTGGTAAGAATGGAAACGTAGCGGCTCTGGTGAGATTCTTCCATTGCAGCCCTATCCTGAAGCATATCATCTACTCCCAGCAATTTGGTATCATCCACAAACTTGGTGAGAGTGCACTCCATCTCATCGTCCTTGGTCATGGTCATTAATGGTCATTAATGAAGGCATTAAGCAATACCAGCCCCTGAACTGACCCGGAGGAACACTACTAGCAGTGAGCAACTGAACATTGACTGATTTTTGAGCCCAAATGATCTGTCACTTGAGTCCCTCACTCCAGTCAATTTTCCACCCATCTTGTGGACCACTTCACCTCTCTCCAGTTTGACTACAAGAATACAGGTTTTCCATCTTTTTATTAGAATTCTGCTTAGCTTTTCTTTGTTCAGACAGCCCAGAGTATCTTATTAGCAATTGCTCACCTGTGCTCTCATAACACTGAGTTGGTTCCCAGTTTCCCAGGCCATCACACTGTGGGATGTAAGGGAGAAAACCCAGCTGCATTGCTTCCCCAGCAGAACGTTTTGAAGTAAAGTGACTCCGCCAGTAGAAATGCAAGACTATAAAAGATAAGTAAAAGAAAGCTATTAGTGGCTGATAGAAGATATTTTAAATGCACATTTTCGCAAACACCTAAACGTTCCCTGTACTTTAGAAGACAAATTTACAAACGCTGCAAGTACAGAAAGGCTGGTAAGTGTCCAGATCTAATATATGTATCATGTCATACATATAAGACAACTGAAATCAGCTCTTGGGTTGGCAGGTTAATTACACTGATTAATTACACCTGCTGAATTGCATCTGTTTTTCAGGAAAGTTGAATTTGACACAGAGTACTCTTGCACAGATCCTGGGCATTAATCCATTTAATTAAGCTCTCATCTCTCTTTCACCTACCTGACCGTGCAGCCAGCTGGAGAGCATAGTCACTGCCCGATAACAGCTTTTCAGAGACCACCACCTCTGTCTTGTAGGACTGGGCAGAACGTAGGAGGTCACTGTCTGTGAGCTGTATTCCCTTTGCCATCAAGAAGCTTTCTCCAAAAGGGAAGTGGGAACTATTTGATGCTAGGATGAGCTGCTCTGCCTCCTCTATAAATTTCATGGCTTCCTGCTTAACACCTTCACATATACCAGGACCTGTAGAACCAGAGGGTATTTTAATGCCTTTCATCTAAATCCAGTAAAGATTTGTATGTGAAAACTAGCAGGTCTTTTAATTAGCATCTTCTCTTTCCTCCTGCACTTGCTCAGTTTTGAATTGCTTAACAAAGCAAGCAAACGAGACTCATCAGTGCTTAGCTATATAACCACAAGTGTCCAAGAGCACCAGGAATCACCCCAACATTCTCCAAGTCTTGGGCCAAAGCCTTGATAATTTTAAGTTACCTCCTCATCATTGGTTACAAATGGAGTTATATGCCTCTACAGAACTGTTCCTCAGTCACTGTCATTAAAGAAGTGGATAATCAGAAAAGAGAGTGAGAAAGGAAACTGAAGGTATATCACTTGGGTCCCGAGTGGCAGCTGACACTTAGCCTGTCCTCTCCATACATCTACTGACTCATATATGGCAGCTCAACACACTGAACCAACTCAGTGAAAGCTTCTCCACTAAAATAACTCTCTGCTAATCTGCTTTGTCCCCTTTATTCCTCATTTGCCCACAGGACTGGCATCTCCAGGACTCCTGGCCCATTTGGAAGTTTGACGTTCATTGTCCTGTCTCTTCCTCCCAGCTGGAAAATTACTATGTGATGACCATGGTTTTAGTACTACATTTATAATATAGGTCATCTGCTGAAGTAGCCCCAAAGAGGGCCCAACAGCTTTGGTGGCGTTGTCTAGACAGAGGGCTTACCAAACTTCAGTGCTGGCCTCACTCTTCTCCTAGTGACTTCTAGGGGATATCTGTTACTCTTGACTGCATAGTAAGAAACAGTAAAGAAAATTCCTCTTCCCTCATTTTAAGGCATTCTTGAAATGTATTTATATCACAGTGTAATCGTGAATTTTCCATACAATTCTTCACACACTGTTTCTAACTTCAAAGTGTCCTTTGCTGTCTGGCTAAGTATCTTCTGCAAAAGCATTATATGTCCAAATTCCAAATTATAAAATCTACACAAACTTGATACAGAACTTAAGTCCTCCTTATTCCCAAAGTTGAGACACCACTTACTTATTTACCAAAAATGAGTTACCCCACCTCTGGGGGCCAGTGACGATGGCAGTATCGATGATCTTTCCGACAAGTCATTGTCTCCTACCTCAGAGCACTTGAAAGGACTTTCTTCTTGTGGCATAAAAGCAAAGACCAGAAACACTGCTACTTATGTGCCAGAAATTCTTACTTACATGCTGGGACCTGGTTCGCTTCTGCCTTTGTTCCTTGCAGCTCTTTTCCTTTGCTATCAACACACCAACAATCACGAAGTTCAAAGTGGCTTAATGGAGCACTGAAATCAGTATAGGGTCCTGGGTAATAGGTCAGCTGCTCATTCAGAAGCTGCCAGAATGTATATGGATCCAGTAAAATGTTCTTGGATGCATAGGTCACGTTTCCTTCCAGCACTTCAGTTGGGAGATCAGTGAAGGAGGAATACCTGGTGAATGCTGGGAAGACATTCTGGTGCCCAGCCTCATACAAAACTTTAACAAAAGCTGAAAAGCCTTTGGAAGACGCCTCTTTATATCCAGTTATGATGTTCAATAGATTAGCAATGGGCAGAGTTTTGCCTTTGTTGTTCTCTGCAATCCACCTTTCGTACCACTCAAAGGCTTGCTCGGAAGGTCCACTGCACTGCACCTGCCTCCAGGCACCGTCAGCATCACACTGCGGCAGGTAAATGCTGGAGAGCTGAGACAGAGCACTTGGATCTGACAACAGGAGTTTCACAGCCTTTAGAAACTCCTGACCAGCTGTTATTTGGCAAGCACTTGGGCCTGCAGAAAAGAAAAACATGCACAGCATGTCTTATGAATGCACTGAAGATATACAATACCCCCTAACCCCCTAGTACTATAAACACCATTACTAAAACTTGGTCACTTACCCCAATACCAACAACAACATTTCTCGCCTGTTATTAAGAGAGCCAATGCTATTAAGCTCCCATGCTGAACCAGGGTAAGATTTCCAAAGGCATGTGAGCACTGAAAGACGTGTATAGATAAGATTTTTTTAAAATATTTGAGCACATTAGGTGCCTGTAGTTCTTCCTGGGGGGGATAGGTGCTTGGTGACACTAAATGCCTTCCTGAATCTGTTCACACCAGCTAGGTATTTTCAGATACACTTGGTAATCTGGCAGTTAATTCTTATTCAGCCAATCCCTGCAGAAGCAACCATCTGAATAGTAGGATAATACTGATTTTATTTCCCCTTGGATCTAACCAGAATTTTCAGATTCTGTTGTCCTCTCTTCCTATTCTCTACTGACCGTTGCAGCTGAATATAAAAATGTCATCCTTCAAAATGGTGGAGTGAGTTTGTTTTGGAAGCCTTTTCTGCCATCTCCAGAACCAGATTTCATTTTGCCACCAAGCAGCTCTACAAACCTAGCAAAACATAGGAGCTCGTATCCTTTTGAGCACCAGAGAACTATGAACCTGTTTATTTTTGATTGCACTACAAATAGGTTGCTAGATATAATTTCTCTATTAATTCAGATCATTGCGATAAATTCCCCACTTCTTCTGTAAACTGCTATTCAAAGGAGCTCCTTCACTATGTACCACTATCATCTGCTGGATACTCTGCTATTCCTTCCAAAATGAGATGCAGGCTCTTCTTTTGGTCTGTTCTCCCCATTGATGTGCCATTTTCAGTTCACAGAAACTCGAAAGACAAATGTCCCTAGCCTATGTGCTTCCTTCTTCCTTTGTATTACACTACTAGAAGGGCACAAGAGGCAGTTCATAGTCTATAAGCAAGCTGCAATGCCAAATTGATGTCTGACAAGTCATTTGTGACTCGCTTTTCAGGCCTGACTGCGTGACCTTTATGAGAAACCTATTAGCCTTTGAAACCCTTTCCTACATTTGGCCTCCTGTGACATCCTACCAAGTTGAGGATATATTCTTGAGCTAAAAGACTAAAAGAGGTTCATGGTTTAAAGCACCAAAGCTCTTCAGTTCTCAGGACAAGGATGAGCCAGTGACCATGCCCAGGTGACTTGGTCCTGGAAGTAAAAGGGCTTTTTCACTTGGCATGGGTCACATCCAGTTACACAGATGCTCCAGGTCTCATGGGCATCATGGATGTTATATATACTAGCTACACACGTAAGTAGAGACAGATGCCAATGATATGCTCATTAACAAGGCAAGACCTCAGGCTTCTCTGTTTTGAGCATGCCTACCCTAACCCACTGAAAGAAGAGGGGTCTGTCGTTAAGACTTAGGATATCAAGGTTTATGTACACTGTATTTCCCACTATTCCCCTGCAACTGTAGGGCTGACTCGCTTTCCTGTTAGGGGACAATATTGTTTGTATGCTCCACCCATACATTTCCAGATATAATCTGGAATGAATGAAGAAAGAATCATGAAAGTCCAACACAATAAGGAAGCATCTTTAAATTCCCAGTCCCTAGGACTTACATTGCATTGGCTTTCCAGCTTTTCCCCTTATTCCTGGAATAGTCTTGCCATTCAGATCAACACAGAAGCAATTTGTTCCATAACACTGGAGTGGCAGAAAGTCTCCATCCTCGGTACAAGAGGGAATAAAAAGATCTGATCCCGCTGGCAGGCTTTGCTTCAAGTTTTGCAGGTTTCTCCTTTGCTTCTCACAATCAGTGGGACACCTTGGATGTTTGCCTTGAACTCTTGAGCCTGGAACTTCCTTACCTGAAGTGTCCAAACACCAGCACTCTCCTGCATAGCATTGAACTTCCTCATACCTCCCCTCCTTGGTGCATGTTGGAACAAACAGGTCCCTTGGCTCCTTATCACAGTCTGTGGATCCCAATGCTAGTTTCACCACTTCACCTAAATCTTCAGCAGCGCTTTTGGGGACAGAAATCACTTGTTGAAGAAAAGTAAAGAACTCTGGTAGTTCCAGAACAGAGGAAAGGAACTTCATCATATTCTGATTGTCCTGTAGAGTTACTGTGCGGCCAAAGCTGCCTACAAGAGGCTCACTCACAATGGAGCTCCCCTTTGATACCTCTAATGAAAATGCCTCAGCAGATTCCAGAAGGCCTTGGCCATTATCCCTCTCTGCCACATTCCCCTGTGGGAAAAATTGGCCAATGCTGTGTTTCCCACTAGTGCCAAGTGCCCCTGTGAAGTTAAACTGGATCAAATTCTTCAAGAACTTTCCTCCAAAGAGGTTTTCTTGGAAACGCTTTGGATTGGCAGTAAATTGCAGTGCCACTTCAGCCAGTTCCCTTGATGGGAATATCCCTGTGATGGCTTCACTAAGGGTGGTTTCTAGCCCAGGAGTCTGGCTGACATATGGGCTTTGTGCAACTGGGGACGACAATCCAGAGTCCAGAAACAGCTCCTTGAAGGAGGGAGGGCAGGGTCTTGAGAAGCCAGCTATTTTTTGTGACTGCATATCTAGCGTGGAAAACAAATTGCGCTGACTGAAGTACGCAGCAGGGCCATAAAAGATCCTCGACAAGGCCTGTCGTCTCTCAGAGAGGCACACTTGTTCTTCACCTAGACAAAGATTTAAAAAAAAAATACAAATTTTGGAACTTCCAAAACCTGTAACTCTATGGCTGTCTTTAAAGTAGTCTCATCAGAAACCACATAAAAGTATAGTTTAACCTGTATCTAGTTCCTCAACTACGCATCACGCACATTGATATGGAAATTTGAACTGTTGTTGAATATGGTCTATAAATAAAATTCTCCAGTCAAGACATAAAGTGAAAGGAAACATTCCTTCACAACACCTGAGTTGTCTGCTCTGTAGTCTTTTTCTGGTTCTATTGTTTACCAATGTAAATCCTCATTCCTGTTCCTACGGCTGAAAGAATGAATAAAGTCTTTTCCAAATATGTTAACTCTCTGGTAGGATGCCTGCTTCTAATGAAAACCTCCCATGATCCAGGTGCAATATGTGAACCTAAGAAAGAGAAATAGACTGCAGAAAAACAGACAGTTATTTTAACCAATGCCCACTAATGAGGAATTTATGGAGGTTTCCTACCTAGATCTTCAGTTTCATAGTGAAGTGTTGATTTCAAGAGGTTTGAAAACAAATTGTTAAAATTAGCAGTAATAGAGTGCTAAGGACCAGATGGCATTCACAAATGAGCTCTAAAGGAAAAAAAATACAAAATTTCAACAAAAATGGTCAAATGTCAGGGTACTGAGGGCACCAAGAGTGGCCCCAGCTGCCCACATCCTGGGCCAAGCTATGTCATAGGTACACACCTGCATCCAGCCCTGTCTGCACGTTCGTAGTTCGTATACAGACA